ATGGAGAAGGCCAGGATGAGCTTTACGCCTGCAGTGCTGCTACCTTCCAAAGCACATGACAATGACCAGTTTCCTATGACAAAAAGTTGCCTAAACTACTATTGCCTCTCAAAATTATGTGTTCCCTATCAAAAAACCATTATCTTTCTTATATTTGCCAAATTCACTCTTTAAATTGTTTGCATAACCAGCAGTATTGTCATTCACTCAAATCTTAGCACTTTCTACAAAATGACTACTGACACATGCATCTGCTGGGTGTTTGTACAGACCGTAGTTATCAAGGATTCCAAAGTGCATGTTATCAGCTGCTATAAAGGGGCTATGAAACCTGTCATCCTTTGTGCACCAAATGTGAAACTAAATAACCTTCAGCAAATACAGCAGCGGCAGCTAGGGTCACAGGAGCAGAGATTGTACCTTCTGATTAGCTCTTTTCACAGGGTATCAGACATTTAAACTGATATATAGAGATTAAAGACAGCTCTTACTTTCATTTTATGAAGGCAAAATTCTCATACTCCATGCCAGAAGATGCCTTTGATATACATACTGGCACGAAATGAAAAGGCTTGGTAGTACAACCTTAAACAGAAGGTGGGATTTTAAATTTACGGAAGATACAAAATGCAAAGTCACAGTTCCTGCAGTAATCACGACTTAGCTCCTATGGGTTCAGTCCTGCAAGGTTTTGTACCGGGGTTACACTCCAATAAGGCAGTGAGACATGCCAGCAGTCTCCCTAATTTCAAAGGATCTACTCATGCCATTTAATTTAAGCAACTTGCTTAAGTATTTCACTTAATCAAAAGGCGATCGCTAAGCACTTTGCAGGTCCAGGACCCTCGTGTGTAGGCAGAGCATCAGCTCATGGAGGGCTAAGATCACAAAAAATTGTCCTTGCAAACCACACAGGCAATAATTTAGAACTTTCTGGTATTACCAGATTTAGTGAGTGTCCTTCCAAGTGCCCAATTATTTGGAAAAGGTAACAGTCATTTCGGGGTACAAGAAATAGTTAAAAAAAAAAATAAATAAATTAGTCAATACTTCTATTCTACTGCTTACATTCTAACCAGGTTTGAGTGGAAAAATGAAAACGTTTTCCACTAAAAATAAGAAGTGGGAATTTAGGAATGTAAGGTAGTTCTGAAAACAGACTTCAGAAAAATCACTTGCTGTTCACATAAAACCTGTCTGACAGTGTTTTGACACATACCATCAGAGGTGGAGATTTTGCATCGTTTTGCAAAAATTCCAGCTAAAGTAGCTGCATAATGAAGGCTCACAGATTGAGGGAAAACGCCTGAAAACTGTCTGAAAAATGAGCAGAACAGAAATTGCTCAGAGGCATGATATCATCCTTACTGCCACAGAGATGCACTCTCCCAATTTCATTTCTGCATCTCAGCTGCTGCTGAAGTTCAAAGCTAAGAAGGTCTCCTTCCCGCAGAACCGCCTAGAGCAGAGGACACGCTGAAGGCGATGCAGTGCCTTTCCCCTCCCCAAAATTCGAGCTACCCACCGCACTGCATGTCACCTCTCAGGTGGCAGGGAACAACCTTGCAGCTCCCTTTCATCGCTGTGGCAGCAAATACCACGAGAGACAACGTATTAGCTTTCTTAATTTTCTGTTAAAATAAGGTTATATTTAACTGCTTCACACTCTGCACCGTAAAAACTTTGTGTCAGAGAAGTTTTTCTCCTTCGAATCCTAGTGGATGTCTAAGCAGCAGGACAACAGGAGAATATAGCATTTTCTTCTTCACCAATTCTAGAATACAAATGTCAAACTCTGCTTAAGAGAGATGTAATGATTAATGGTAACTCATCATGGAAGGCAAATCATTTCAGCATCTACCCCGTCTGCTCCTTTGAGATAGAAAAGGCTGGGAAAAAAGAAAACTCCAGGAAAGCTCCTCTGAGAAAACTTGGCTGGAGTTTTGGTATTTTATCTGATTTAGCAATAAAACCAAATCCCAGGAAAGAGCTAAAAATTGGACGATACTGTATATGCATGCTTGAAGCAGGCCAGCAGTACACGCCAAGTTGTGTCCAAACCTGACAAAACTAATAGCTGAGAACAAAATATCAACCAGGTAGCTGTTGATGAAGTTATTGATATATGTAACTCACACCAAGTAGTTCTAAAGTGTGTCCCGAAATTTCCAGACACGTTATAATAAGCTGTATTATGGCACCTCTATTGTAGGACTCATGCTTTTGAAATCACAACTCATACAGGACAAGCTAAAGAATACGCAGATGACTTGATTTAAGCATGGCCGCTGAATATTTAACAGGGTGACCTTAATGTTCTCCTTATAAAAGAAAAATAAACCAACATGCACACACAGTGTGCTATAAGGTAAATCACCAGTTTACTGAAACTAGTAGATGTCTTCCACAGATTTCATGAACCTTCAGATCGGCTGGTATGGCAATCCAGAAATTCCTACCTCTGAGCCCACTCTTTCTCTACAGTAACACTACTTTCTCACAGCCTATGTGGCATTTTAGATAATATTGACAGTGCTCATACATCTCAGCATAGTAATTTACTATGTAGAGCCCAACAAGAAGAGGCTTTTGGTACCAGATGGAGTACATGTGTTGGTTTATCACACAAAGATGTTAAGGACAGAGGCCCTGATCCTATAAGAATGTGGATATCTGTCATTTTTAAGCTTTTGAATAGATTTGTGATATTCAGTCCTGTGGGTCTTTTTAAAGGCTAGCTATGAGTGAGAAAAACACACAAAAGGAGAGAGGGAGGATAAGGGTAATGGCAAGAAGATCACATAACTACAACGAATAGAGAAAGTAGACAGTCTTACTGGTTCCAGGTCACTGTATCATATAGAAGCAAATTCACATATGTGATTATAAATAGACTCCACTGATCTTCAGTCACCCGTTATTAGTCAAGAATTTCTGGGAGCCTTCCTGGTAAAAGAGCCTTTTGACGAGGAAAGTAAAGTAAGAAAGTGACTTTATGGTGGATCAACAGATTATTTAGGCAGAAGAGACAACACTGATACAAGTTTAAGGCAGCATAATTGTGCTTGCTTTGAAAGACTGACTTTGAATTTTCCACCTCTTTCCTATCTGCAGACCTGCGGTGGCATTTAGTTACCCATTTCAAAAGAAGGTGGGCTGAACCAGGCTGTTTATCTGAATACATGATCATTATATTGCATCCAAGACTGTGAAAGCTAACGAACGATTTTCCGTTCAACCTTTTAAATTGCATTAAATGCTGCAATAGGAGCAAATGTGAGGGATTTACCTCATCAAAAACATCATGAATTCTACAGAACCCAAGCTGACCCAGCTGATCAATAGTCCATGTACTCAGCACAGTCCATCCAACATCATCAGGCATTTCATTTTGGGCACAGTCTGACCTCTATACACAAGCAAAACAAAAGTCCAAGTGGCTAATAAGACAAGTCTGGATTTCAGGCAGTAGTAGCAGAATGATGTCCCCATTTGCTTTTTTTCTTTTAAAACATAACTCTTATTGTCCTTATTTAATTTGGGTTTTTTTCAACAGGTCTGCCAGTTAGAACTCAGTCCCATAGCCTGAGCTGAATCCATTACTAGAGCATACACCCCTTCCGCAGGCAATTACAGGGTGGAAAGTAAATCCAAAGTCAGTTATCAAGATTTTATCTTCTCAGTTACAAACACCTGGAAATAAGGAATTACAACATAATGGTGGGACAGTAATAATTTTATGGTTATGTAGGGAGTGAAAATTACACTCTTTTGTGGTCTGCAACTTGCTATTTTCATTCACAGAGTAGTGCCAAGAGCCTATTAAACTCAGAGATCAGTGCTAATACTCAAATCCAGAATCTGAAAAAAACATAAAGATGGGAAACAAATATATTAAGCCCTCAAGCTCTAATCCTAGGGAGTCTTGAGATATCAGATCTAAAATTCACCTTGTCAAGCATGTCCTCACACTTCATAAATCTCTCCAGGGAAGTAATCCAAAGTCCAGTGAAGTCAGCGGGAAAATTCTTTCCGCTAGTTTCAGCGGGTTTTGGATAGGGCTCCAAAAAAACAAAACTCAAGGAGAGCTACAGGAGAGCATCCAGAATATCATTTTCCAATGGTATAAATCATTAATCTATGACTCCTGAAGTTCCTGAGATACCAGTTTATGTCGAAATCAAAATGTAGGGTGGGAGGGAATAGGTACAGGGGTCAAGGGACAGTAAGCAGAATAATATGATTTCAAAACATAATCATGATTGGGGAAGAACAGCACAAAGAGTGTTAGAGCCCGTGAACTTTCCTGGCAACAGTAATCAGTGATATTTTAATGGCTGCTATGTGTGCAGGGCAATAAAAGCATAGAGTTCTGTTGTGTGGCATAAATACTAGAACTGTTCACTAGAACTGTTCACTCTCCAACTTTGCTGGTCATTCAAGCACAAATAACTTCAAATTTTAACACTTAATAAATCATGTGAATTAAGAAAACCAGATTTTAACAAGTTGCAGTGTTACATGGTGCATGCATAGAAGCTGTAAACCTGAGAACACACAGAGTAAGCATTTTCCAACAATATAGTTCTACGATTAAAGCAAAGGTCTTCTTAGAGTTGCAACACATCCTAAGTTGTGAAACAGGAGCAATTTGTTTAAGTGACAAATGAAAACAGCTTACCTAATGCCTTTAGAAGATCCTATCAATTAAGAAAAAAAATGAAAAAGTCTTCAATGAAAAAGCCCACCTTACGAAAAAAAGAAGCGAAGCAAGATTTTCATGATACTTCTATTCTAGCACAGCAGGAACTGTGGGAGCCTAAATAAAACTACCAAGGTAAATACACTGGTGCTTTTTTCTACACAGATATCAATTTTTAAAAGTTTTTAAACAAGAACACTCACCTCAGTTTGAGCCATAACTGGCAGTTCTATATTTTAGGGCAGTCACATCTTACTATTTAGCATGCAAAGAATCTATTATTTTAAATAAGACTTACATTGTTTTCTCATCTCCTTAAGTTGATCCTTAAAATACATGTATTTTTCATTCCTTTGCAAATCTGAGTCACTGTTCTTGCTCTCCAGTGCAGTAAATTTTTCTTTTACTAAATTTTTTAGATCTGGTATATTTTCTGGTTTTTCTCGTTTTATCTGTAAGGAATAAGAAACAGAATGTTATTTATTATGGCACATATTTTAATACAAAGCAAAAGCCGTCAAGCAAAAATTCATAAGCATAATCTCAGTTTCTTTGGACTGCAGTTAGGTTTCCTGCTCTGAAGCCATAACCTCCAGGTTATTATTTATTTCAGCAAAAGTAACTATAAAGTGAATTGTTTCAGTGTCATTTCACTCGGTTGCTGTACGCAGAGTGTTGCTCACACTGAATATAGGGAAAACAGAACCTCTGCAGTCAAACTCGATTCCATGAGTGGTAAAGGTCAACGTGTTAACAACCACCAGCGTAACCCTGAATGTGAATGAAACTGTGTCCAAAAAAGTGAGATGACTGAAAAACAGAAATAACTTTTTAAAGAATTTTCAAAGCTTCCACTCTCTCACCATCTCTGATTCAGCTTTTCAGAAGCTTATAATCTACAGGGATGATTAGTGTGATAACACCAGCAAAAGCAGTACAGATAGCTAACGTAAAAGGAAACCACCTCAATTTATTTGTCCTGTGTGAACAAGAAGCATTATGCTGTACAGGCAGGCAAGAACACAGTTTCTTGAAAAGCACTTGCCTACAGTAATTGTATCTGGAATGATCTGAAGAATAAATGGCTGGAAATAAAAGGCAAGTCACCACATAAGCAATATTAAGGTACTCCAAGAATGCAAAAAGCACTTTGGGAACCCACAAAAAACAATAATTAGAGTTTCTCCTTTTGTTTCTCAAGCCAGCATTAAATTCTAGGGAACTATACCTTTGACAAGTCTTCATAAGAACTAGCTTACAGGTGGTGGGCTGGGGACCGTACTATGCAACGATGATCAGCAACAGCACAAACTCTGAAAGAAGGCAGACATCTTTCAAATCACAGATGCATAGAATGGTTTGGGTTGGAAAGGGACCTTAAAGATCATCTCATTCCAACTCCCCTGCAACGAGCAGGGACACCTTCCACTAGACCAGGTTGCTCAAAAACCCATCCAAACTGGCCTTGAACACTTCCAGGGTTGGGGCATCCACAACTTCTCTGGGCAACCTGCTCCAGTGCCTCACCACCCTTGTAGTGAAGAATTTCTTCCTTATATCCAATCTAAATCTACCCTCTTTCAGTTTAAAGCCATTACCCCTGGTCCTCTCACTGCACAGCCTTGTAAAAAGTCCCTCTCAAGCTTTCTTGTAGGCCCCCTTTAGGTCCTTAATGCTAAGCATTTTCCAAACCAGACAAAGGTTATTTCTAATCTATCCTATCCCAAAAATGTCAATCTGAAAAAAAGGGAGGAAAGCACCATTTCTACGGAGCTACTCTTCCCCTACCGCACACATTCAGTTCTGCCACTCACCAGATACCACTGTACTAGTCATTGTGAAAGACAGGAAAAGAGCCTACTGAGAAAGAAAAGGTTCACTTCATCAAATCGTTCACAACTTCCAGAGCTTACGGAGATGTTGGAAATACTACAGAATGTATTTTATTTCAGGTGCCAAAGAAATAATAAATGTTCATGTAAAAATGGACTTTGCAGATATATAAAATGCTACATACCAAGAAAACTTTACTTTCCTTTAAATCAAAGCAAAGCAATCCATAGAGTGATTATTTCTTCCAACAGTTAAAGCCAGTTTGGCACATTTAATTTAGGCAGATACAAGTTGTGGCAAGAGGAAAAATAAGAAAAAAAACATGCACTGCCAGGTGATAGCATGCCGTTTTCAAAGGCACCTGGAGATAAAAGATCACCCACCACAACATCCAACTGTGAATGGGAAAGACTTGGGAATACCTTGGTACCAAAGGAGCACAGTGACTACAGAAGACCAACAGCAGGTCATCGCAGATGCTCAGGCTGCTGCATAAAGACGAGCAGTAGCACACAGTCCTCATCCTATGAAACTTGACAAAAGGAGCAAAGGAAAACAGAACATCCAGTGCCCAGGGCAATGCGGGTGATCGTATGCACTCGATTGATTTGCCTGTGTCAGCACCACAGCAACCAAAACCAACGTTCTTCAGTACTCAGCTGAAGAAGAAACTTGGCCATCACAAGAAAGCCATTACTAAATCCAAATACATTTAAAATCCAACACATTATAAAACAATGATTTGATTTGGACATGTAGCGCAAACATACTCCTTTCTGCAACAACTCAATCAGGCTGTTTTTACAGACGTTCTCTCTTTAACATAAAAATAACATATAAACACAGGACCACATTCACAAGCATAGCCCAAATAAGAACCCATCACTAAGACCTGCCCTCATCACGAATGAGAGCACTATGGCCAGATACCATACAGAAGATCCAGCTCTGTATGCTAAAAAAATAACCAAGTACTTCTAAGTTGCTGATACTCACACAAAGAATAAAAGAAATGATGTGGACATTCATTACAGACATCCATCTGTAGCAAAGACAACGTCAATAATCTTTTCCTCTCCACAGGGACTATGTTACACATCGATATAGTTACATCAGGCTCTTTTTTTATCTTTTTCTTGGCTCATGGAAGATTTGAGTACAGAAATTCACCAACGTAACATCTTCAATCATACTCTCAGAGTGAGAGGTGAAGAAAAGGGCACAGCCAATGTTAGTTCAAACAGTGGTTCTCTCAACTCCCACTTCCAGAATTAAAGGATTTTACATGTGAGCAGAAAAAGAGAAGGAACTGTAACTTATACTGTTACGTTAGCAAAAAGGACAGATGTTTGAGAAGCTGCATTATATGCACCCGAATAAGCTTTGCCCCTGCCACTGTGGAGCTACAAAAATTTGCATGTAGACATCTGTACTAACCTCAAGGGAACAATTATTCAAAACCCTCCCTTGACTACATAACTATAATCCCACGGCTTGCTGCCATATATCTAACAAGTTAAGAGCTAGCATGCTATTTGCTAAAGGCAGCATGAACAATTCCACCAGTTAGCAAGAAAAAAAAAAAGTCTTTCACACCAGCTATTTTCCCAACAGCAATGCATTATGTTGTGAGGGTAGCCCAGCAATGCAGCACACGTGACATAGGCTCAGACAACCATAGGAACCTGAAGAGTCAGATGAGAGAGATGCTCAAAGAATGCTCTTTCCTGTAGTTTAGCTCCTGTCACATTTACAATTTAAATTCAGTTTCAATTCACCTCCAGATGATTGCTTTCATTAAAAAGATTAGTAGAGACACTATCCCTGACCACACTGAATACTGTACCATCACGTATGCTATTACTGAAATGCCAGGTAGACCTTCTGGAAGGTCAACACATCACAGGTGAATAATAAGGCATGTCCACCCACCATAATAATAAGAAAATACGTTTGCTGTGCACAAGCAATTTCTCTTTGGTGCTGCATATCCTGTTCCATGTAGAGGGTTGAGGATGGTCTAACCCAACAACATAGATGAAAACATATGAAAGAAAATGTGACATCAGTCCTGGTTCCTTGCGGTGGGACAGAATTGCAACATCTTACACACTGCATCAGCACAACACCCTTACAGGTACATTACAGCTTTCTTCAGTTCTCACCACCCACTCCTACTCTACAGATTCATGATGGATGCAGCGATGATGACATCAGCGTAACAAAATGTATGACGACAACACAAACAGAGCATATGGCTAAGGGACAGGGCAAAACTATCAATATTCAGGGCAACAAGTTGGGGTCATAATTCTTTTGGGTCTCAGCAGCATGTCAGACAGATGCTTACTAGCAAACCTGAAGCCATTGGCATCTTCAATTTGTCAGTAAAAGTTACTTCACATGGGAACCATGAAAGAGATGTTAAGCAAACAAGTGTTCGGTTAGTAGCACTGTCAGCCAAAACCAGCAGGCTAAGTAACACCTTGCAGTCATTAGTCAATCCATTGAGAGTTACATTGATTTTGAAATGGGGTGGAGGCATACACACCCTACAAAGCATCCTGGAAATGACATATAACTATGAACTGGGAGTGTTCAGGACATATGGTGAAAAGAAGTATCAGTCACAACAGCTTGTTTACAGCAATAGAAAAAGCAAAAGCATCTGCTGTGCCAGTCCCATAGCAGGAAAGGATCACATGGGTATTTACATGGGAGCTCAGCAGTAAGAGGAAGAACAGGCACATTACACATGATAATTAATGATACTCCATGCCTGATCTATCAGCAGTGCCGATAGGAAAACACGTTTAGAAACACACAAAAAATAATTGTTTAGAAAAATGTAGCTGTGGTTTACCTATCAAAAGATATATTTGCTCATGGCAACACACGCCACACCACCTGGTCACAGCTGGTATGTCCAAAGAGGTTACTGCGTTTGATGGTCAATGCTTATGAAATGAGCCAGTTCATGGCAGGTCTTTGACTTCTGCCAATATCTATCTGCAAGGATCAGCCTTCCTTCTGTAGATTCTTTCACTGGTAGTGTGTCTATTCCATGCATAAACCGTTAGACTATGCCTCCAAAAATCCAGCTCTTTGAAAGGCCAGCTTGCACAGCCTAAGATAACTGTAAACTCAGGGTGTTCTAAGGGGCAATCTGGGGAACTTTTTGTTTCATGAATTACCATAGCCACCAAATGGGTAATAAATTATTCTGTTCCAGACCAATCCCAGAACCAGTGAGGTCAAAGGTACCATAGACTAAAACTGGACCAGCATGCAGTATTAGTCTGCACACAGGAAAGGATCAGTGTCTAAAAAGGCACTAATTAGCGTAACTCTGCATGCAGCATTGCAGCATTTAGTAATTTGTCTTTCCCAGTATTATGTCCCAAAACACTTTACAAACATTAAAGAATTTAGCCTCAAATGCCTGTTGTGACATATGTACCATTGACTGTGTTTTACAAAGGGGAGACTGTGGCATGAAGAGATGAAAAATTTGGCCTAGGGTTGCCCAAGGAGACTGTGGCAGAACCAAGAATAAATAAATCCCGGTTCTGTGCTTTCAGCACAAAGCCATCCTTTTCCCTTCTCCTTTAGCTGAGGGAAAGTTCAAATTAGCACGTGCATTTGGTTCACTCTCTACAAAGAGGCCCGAAACAGTTTGTGGCTGCTTGGCAAACTTTGTGATAAAAGAGCGGCATTCTGTGTACCACAAAAATGCTCCACTGGACTTTGCACATCACTGGTTCAGCATGTGACACTCCACGGTTATTTCTTACACTTTTCTTGCTTCTCTCACTAGCACTGAAGTCCTTTAGCTGCATGTTTTTAATCCCCTCACTGTTCCTAGGGCACCCTCTCAGGGCTATCTTCTATGTCCTTTGGGTTTTGGGAGTCTGTCAGTGCCATCCATTTTATTTCTCAGAAATTTCTTGCCGCACCTGAACCATGCTGAGGTTTCCTCAAACCAGTGATGCAATCTGCAAAGGAACTATCTTTCCAAAGCATTCAGAATTCTCACCTTAGTCTTCCAAACCATACCTTATGTGTTCCCTGTAATTTAATCCCTACAAAAGACGGACTTTTAAAGTTTAATTTATGGATATTATTGACACTTGGTATTTGCGAGGCGAAGAAACATGCCTGCTTGCTAATGATCTTTTTAATGACCAAGTCAGCTGACACGGCGGAATGTCTTCATTTTCCAGATTCTTTGTTGTTTCATGTATGAACGGGAGGGCCATTAGTCACTCAGTGCTGAGGAGCTCAGGGGTACGTAGTTCCCTAGATATTTATATCCTTTTGGGACAACCTGAAAAAGGATTCACTGGTGTCTCCAGCTAACTCTAAACTCATAGTGATTTAGACTATTTACACTACAGCCGTGTGCCTGTGCACATGGTTACGGAACACTGATAGCAGCTCTCTTTGAATTCGATATTGTAAAGGAACTCAGTCAAGATTTTTCAGACAGACAACTTCAGGTACTTTGGGACTTGGGGTGAACAGCCTAAGACATCCCACAAAGACCCAGTTTTCAGAACCTGGGCATCTCATGCTTTCTGAATTGACATCACTTTCAAATGTCTGACCCAGACGTGGACCTATCTAAAACTACTTATTTCGGAGAACAACTGCCAAGAATTGGCTGGCTATAGCAATAAGTACGGACACTGTCAAAACAGCCTCTCTGAGCATCTCCCATCAGATAAAAATAACTATTCTTCCTTTATTTACATCTGCTATGCAACAAAACCGACCAAAATGCATGTCACGTATCTTTCTGGTTGAACGATTCCTACCTCCTATTATTTCATCCTTACCTCACTAAATAATTTATTATTACAAATATGCAGCCTTTCAACATGCGCATTTGTTTTACCTCAGGGTTAAGTCAAAGTTTGCTGTGATTATTTATTATAACCAATTTTTTTTTCACTGAGAGGGAAAATAACATGGGAGCTAAGTAAATTTGTGGGTTGAGTCACCCATACACTTTGTGAATCATGTGAGAACCAACTCTAAGTGAGTCACCACTGTAACTGAATCAGGCTGCAAAATTTTAGCTCAACCTAAACAGTCATTTATTATTCTTCAATGGCTGGATTCAAACCCTTAGCGAATATCAGATCATTTGTTGATGCACAAATAAAACACGGCTCTTGGAAACATCGGCAAGGGCGCTCAGAAAGGATCTCATCATTCAGCAGCTTGAGCTGCACCAGTTTGAGCAGAGCTCTGCTGCAGTCAGGATTGCCTACGGGCCCACATCTGAGTCAGGACCTGCAACACCTCTCTACATCGTGGCTGCAGGGCTGGGGCTCCAGTTGAGCAACACCTTCGCAGACAATTGTGAAACGCCGAGAGAGGCATATTTACGAGGGCTGACCCATACTTATGACACATCCTGCCTATTAAACCGGGCCAGCACAACAGAAAATGACTGTCAGCACATTTCAAATATCCCCAAACTCTGCCAGAGTAACAGTCTGCAGGTGAGGCAGGGTTGCCGTGGTTCAAACGCAGCGTGGCAGTATGGTGGTTGCGGCTAAGGTGTCCCCCGTAAGGAAATTGTTTGTACCTTCCACGGTTTCCTTCCCCTACTTGGAACACAGCTGGAGATGTTTAACCTTTATAAAGAAAGTCAGCACAGGGGGGCACACACTGCTTCCACGTATACTGGGGTACATCCAAAACTAACTCCTCACAAGTTGTGGCACATTAGGCTTGTTTTGGTAAGGCTAGAAATGGACTTTGGCCTGCCCTGTTTGCTTTCTTCCTCCTGTTTAGAAAGGAACCATATATCCAGAGTGGGATTAAAGTAAATGAGCACCAGGTGAAGAAACAAAATCGCCTGGGCGCAAATGCAAAGTTTATAGCCTGAACAGTATTTCTTGGGGTTCCCACCTCTTACACATTTCACCTCAGGTAAAATTTTTTACTCTGCATGTGTTTTAACAGAAAAAAAAAAAAATGTTCTTTATATCTTCCCCAGTTACTCACTATGGTAGAGACAAGTCTGTGAACATCGTTTCATTTCTCCCCAAGACCTCTTGTGCACTGCTTTGTAAAGTGCAAAGGGGTAAAAAGAAGAAATGAAAGGGGATCTTTATTTAAATACCAGTATTGAAACCACTTGCTGCCAATAGTGTAAAACAGGCTCTTAAAGACAGCAATAAATGTGAGCATTAGAGGCGAGGTTTTCCCAAGGTACCATAGTGAAGAAAGTTAATGGATATTTAGCACCTCAATCCCTTCAGCATTTCTGAACATCCAACTTGCCTGTGGTTTGCCGTGAGGGTTGAACTGAATTTTCTTAATCCTTTCAACCAAACAGAAGTCTATCTTCATCTTGTTTCTCTGTAGTTTTTCAATATATGAAGTATGAATACAACAACACAAAAAATTCTACAGTATTTAGGAGACATTTATGAAAACACCTAAAAAATACGGTTCAAGAAACAGCAGGAGAGCAAGTAAATAAATTTACTAATCCCCTTTTCTCTATGTAAAGTTCTACCACAAACGTAGTTTATATGCAAGCTAATCTTGGTGCACTAGGGGTATACAGCATCTTGTCCTAAGTAGTTTTGCCTGAGCACAGATTAAGGCCTGTAACAGTAAAAATAACTATTCTTATAAAAATGTTGCTTTGTTTTAACAGCATGTTAGAATCTGTGAGGCAGATGGTGCATCTGTTTTAGCAAGGTTGATTCAGCAAATGCAT